ATTTGTTTGAAAAGGATTCATTATTTTATTCTTATTCCAACAAATTTGTATTATGAAAAGACTATGTTAGGTGTTGTGCTCCTGACCCTACTGATCCCATCCCACCTTAGCAAAAGGTAAAAGTAACTCTACAACACTGAGCTTGGTAGACATAGACCCATGCTTACATATTCAGGGACACCAGAAAGAGATGTAAAAAAAGAAACATTTTACAAAGAAAGTTTTCAATGCACCATGATCAGCACTCAAATAATTCCCTTCCCTCTTTCTTCCTCTGAAGGGAGTACATTATAGAAAAGTATGGATTGAAAATTTAGTAAAGCAAAGGTGAAATAATGACTCAAGGTCCCAGGAGAAACAGAAGGTAAAGGAAGTCCTTCAGTGAAGGAGAAGATTGATCTGTATCCTTATCTCTCCAGGACCCTGAATATGTCCATTGCTTATTATAAATCAATGCTGACCACAGTTAAAATGTAATTTTCAAGGCTAAGTTAAGCAAAATTTCAAAAAGGATAAATATCCTGAGGAAGACTAATGGTGACAATTTTAGGAGTACCTAACAATAGGGAGAATAGATTGCATGTTAAAATGTTACTTCTGTTCTGATTGCTAATGGGTATGTTCTTTAAGACCTAGGCTTAATTATCAATCCTTTGACCCAAGGACAACAAATTTCATGAAGACCCCTAAAGATTCCTAAATAGTACAAATAAAATGCAGAAATATTTTGAGAACATATTTTAGAGCACTGGATGAGTCAGTAAGATAATACATGAACTACTAAACGTGAACTAGGGACTCTGTTTTGTGTTTGAGTTTGTTTTGTGACTTCTATCCCCACTAATGATCCCTTTTTTTTTCCCTCTTCTGCACATCCTAGCCTGGATTCTCTTTCATCATTCTACAGTGGTCAATGCAGTTATTGTACAGCTTCACTTTCAATGAAAGCTAGGGGAAAATAACCCTCATACCCATCTCTTTGTCTCTCCATCCATATATAAAGGGAGCCACTAAAAAATAAAAGAAACAAGGTATTATACTTAACCCAGGCAAATCTTAGCAATTAACATATATAATATTTTAAGAAAAGAAAAAAAAAAAGATCAGCAGAAATGGAGGAAACAGATTGCATCCTAAATTCCATCAAAAGCAAAAATGCAAGTTTGGATAGTAATTTCCAGTTCTTTGGAGCCACATCATCTGTCATGATGAGTTCACTGAACAGTCTTACAGACTAACCCTCTGTACTCTCTTGTGGTGTATATGTATATATATGAATTATCATATGGAACCTCAGAAGTGTCTAAAAACTTTCTGCAATTATCCCTCACACAATTATTGAACTGATGGATTTGTTCCACAGGAGCTATTGTGGCTTCCTAGTTTAATTCTTCAAGAGATGTCTTGGATGGAGATAACCCTTCTTGTAAGATAAAACAATGTTTATATTCAGTTACTACCTTATCACTGAGCTTGTGCTATCAAGCAATTTCTACAATATCTGTAGTTTTAGGACACTGTAGATATAAATCTATGGTTTCAGCTAAACTCTTTAATCCACAGGTCTATGTAAAAGACTGTCTTAAGGTATCCTCCAGCCCATTGGTTCTTAAAGAGTGGTCTGAAAACACCTGGAGGGATTCTTGAGCCCCTTTCAGTGGGCCTGTGGGTTAAATAATATTTTTTATAATGACACTAAGATATTTACTTTTTTCATTCTTATTATCTCATAAATGTACAGAGGGCTTTTCCAAAGGCTATATGGCATGTGATGATGCCATCTCTCTGATACTGAGGGATGTGTGATTTTGTGTTCTTGAATTTTAAACATTTCTCAGTTTTAATATCTATTACAGTTAGTATCAATAGATATAACCCACATCCAAGAACACTTTGGGGTCCTCAATGACTTTTAAGAGTGTTAAGGTGTCCTAAGACCAAACATTTTGCAAACTGCTGCTTTACAAAGACTTTGTTCCTAAAATGCATTTCTTTCTAACTGATCTAGTTGCAACTTCTGTTTTGTGTGATGAGATAAAGAGACAATTTGAAGTAGGTTTTAAAACAATATTATTTTGCTGATATGAAATTCTGGTAGCCAGGGTGCCAGGTGTGTTCATAATCTTAATGCTGTCAATTTTAAGCCTGAAGCCCCAAGAGACGAGCAGTGTTTAATACATCATCCCTTGTTAAGTAGCAGCCACAGAGTTGGCGGTAGCCAGTAAACGATTCCCTGCCATGTAGGACACGCCAGTTGTCTATAAATAGGACCTGTGAATGGGCAAAAAGAGAAAAAAAACACCATCAGAACAAAAGCAGACCAAAGAATTCTAAATCAGAAGAGACCACTTAAAAGCTTTAGGTTGTTCTCTAGTTAAAATTCAATAAGGTATCTTTCTTTTTGAGATTAAACAAACCTTTGGAAATTAGGATGTGCATAGCCCTGTAGTAGGCTGGGTGGAAGTTACAAAAGCAACAGTAGGTAATTAGGCCCTGTACTTGAGAAGCTTATGTTTCTTGAGTAATTATTCTCTTATCAAAGCAAATTAGATAACTGGCTTCATTTTCTTTTCTGTTTAATTTTAAATATATACTTTCTCAAAAAGTTAAACTATTTCACTATGTTTTATGCTAAGCTGAAGACCTTACTCAGAGGATAGATCAAGAGCAAAAAAAAAAAAAAAAGAAATCACATAGCTGGAAGGACACTTAGGGATTATCTAGTTCAACCCCCTCATTATACATATAGAGCCACTGAGTCACTGATGCCTACATATGGTGTGGGACCTGCTTCCAGGTCATTCAGTGAGTGGCAGGACCAGAGTCAATACCCAGGATTCTTTTCATTTTTACCTTTGCAAGACTGTGACTCACATATTAAAGAAGTACCCATTATTCATTGCTTCAGTATAACAAGCTTACTTGACATCTTTAGAACTTGGCACCCACCCTGCCAGGCTTTAGTTTGACCCAAAACTCATTCTCAGGTCTCCTCAACTCTACTGTCAGAGTCCGGTGTGCTGTATACCAACGATGGACAACATCATAAGGTACAGTATTGATGACAGCTCTGTCATAGTTGTTGTATCTAAGATGAAATCATGAGAAGAAAAGATATCCTCAAACACATGTTAAAGACACCTATTGCTTATTGAGCAATTTTATTTAAGGCTTTGTCTATATTCATTACTTGTCCTAGAGATAAGGTGAGAATAAGTCAATGCTCTCTTGGGAATATAGGATTGCAGAGAGGAGCCCTGCTGCCTGTTGACCATATTTTTTTTTTTCCTTTGGAGAATCTGGGGGTAGGAGATAGAAGTAAGTTCTAGCTGGTTTCTTCCATCTTAGGATATGATGTTTATCTAAAGTACATTCTCTTGGCCAAATTTTACAGAAGCACTGGGGAAAGATCTGAGCTTTCTATTCACTAAGCTGAGGTGGGCAAGAGAGGTTATACTAACAAGGCTTTCTTTTTAGCAGAATGACTTAGAACTTCTCAGGTGTTTCTCTTTGTGGGGAAAAGCCAAGCTATAGACCTACTGGGCAGATTACTCAGTGATCTTCACTCATTCATTCAACTCTAACATTTACATGAGCAGCTGCTATGTGCTAGGTGGTGTCAGGTGTTAAAGATACAGTGATGAACATAGCAGACACGATCCCAGCCTTTGGGATCTATTTACATTCTATTAAGAAAGACAAATGATGAACAAGTAATAAATACATATCTAGTTACAGATGTTATAAAGAAAAAATAATGTACTGTGATAAAAAGTGACTGGGTAGTCTATTTCAGATGGAGTATGTTGAGTGAGGACTTTTTTGAAGAAGTGACATTTGAGCTGTTACCTATATGATAAGAAACCAACAATGTGACAAGCTGAGAGGAGTGTTCCAGGCAAAGGGAAGAGCAAGAACAAAGCATTAGGATGGAAAGGAGTTTTATTATGTTTGCAGAACAGCAAGAAGGCCATGTGGCTGGAGCTGAGTAAGCAAGGGGGATAATGGTAAGGAATAATGTGGAGGAGGTAGCCATGGGCCAGATCATGTATAGCCTTATAGGCCATGGTAAGGATTTTGGGTTTTATTCTGAGTACTATGGGAAGTCACTGAAAAGCCTTTGCTAAAGGCTTTCTTTTTTTCTTAAAGGATTTCTTTTTTACTTAAGGTAAATTAATCTTTTACTGAAGTATAGTACGTATATGGAAAAGTACACAAATCTTAAGCTTGATGTATTTTCATGATGTGAACACATCCATATCACTAACATCCAGGCCAATAAATAGATCATTACATACACCCCAGAACACTCCCTTGTACCCCTTTTCCATCTTGTCTTTCCCCTAACCCAAAGATAACTACCATCATGACTTCTGTCACCAAAGATTAGTTTTGCTTGTACTCTTTTGTGTCTGGATTCTTTCATTTAATATTATATTTAGGAGATTCATCATTGTTGTTATATAGTAGTAGATCATTTATCCTTCATGCTGTATAGAATTTTATTGCATGACTCTACCACAATTTATTCATCCATTCTACTGTTGATAGATATTTGAGTAGTTTCCAGTTTGGGACTAATACAAATAATGCTGGTGGTTCTGGTCCATGATGGCAACATAGAAATCTCCCAAACTCACCTCCCCCCATGCACATACCAAATCTACAGCTACACCTGGGACCATTCCCTCTGAAAGAAATCCAGAAACTAGCTGAGTGACTCCTACACATTGGGTAAATAAGAAAAAAACCCACATCAAAATGGGTAGAAAATGCTGAAACACAATTTTATCATAAACCCATCCCTGGTGCAGCAACCAGAAGGAAGTTCACAACTCCAAGCTTCTCCTTGAGGAGTGAAGAGTTTGGACTCAACATTTAGTGCCCAAACTTTTAAGATGTCTGCATGAGGGATGGGCCCCCGAAACACCTAGCTTTGAAAGACAATGAGGCTTGCATCCATGAGACCCACCAGGTTATAGAACACAAAGAAACAGTTCTTTTTTTTTCTTTTGGTAAGTTGTTTATTGTAAGATAATTTATAAACATCTTGCTGTCTTTAGTAGTTTAAACAATGGACCAACAATTTCTTCTGACAAGGACAGCAGTAAGCTAAAAATAAAACCAGCTGGCTGAATTTTCCTTCTTTATATCTTGTCTGAGGATGAAACTTGGTTTTCATTAATCCAGAGCTGCTGCACCGGAAATGACTTCAATCAACTCTTTCGTGATGACAGCCTGGCGGGTGCGACTGAATGTCAAGGTCAGTTTGTCAATCATCTTGGAAGTGTTCTTGCTAGCGTTGTCCATGGCCGTCATCCTGGCACTTTGCTCACTCATGGTGGATTCCTTTAGAGAATAGTAGATGATGTTGGCCAAATTGTATTCTTGGTAATTCTGCAGCACGTCAGCATCAATATCATCATAGATACTCATGCTTTCAGCACTTGCAACGGTTTCAAGGGAAAAGATGGGCTTTTCTTCTGTCTTGTAGGAGATGACAGACCTGAACTGATTAAAGATGATTAGACCCTTCATCAAATTCATGTCCAGAATTTAGTAGTTCAAGGGCAATGACGGACGCATCCCCAAAAGTAGGAGGTTTTCTTCCCACTTCTTTGAAGGACACCAGAAACTGGTCAGAGTGAGTCCTATGAAGTATACCCCTGATTTTATCACCAATTCCAACAAGCATGACTTCTTTCCCAGCTGCTGTGAGTGTGGCCACCTCACTTTTCATCTGTTTAGCAACCGAGGAATGAATAGCACCACAGAGCCCTCGATCTGAGGACACACCAATAAGGAGGTGTTTCTTCTTGTGTTCAGGCACCTTAATATCAGCTTTTTCATACAGAGCCAAAGATCCTATCCCATATACTCGAGCTGGTTTCAGCTCCCTCTCAGCTCAGGCATATTTTGCTGCTGCTACCATTTTCACAGACTTGGTGATTTTCTGGATGTTTTTGATTGATTTTAGTCGCCTGGTAATATCTTTTAAATTTGCCATATTTCAAACTTGGCCCAGCGACGCCTGCCCGAGAGAACATGGTGGTACCAGCCCGGCTCGAAACAGTTCTTAATGGGCTTATGAAGACTCACTGTGGAAAACTCAGGTCTAGTACAGAGACAGCAGACAGAAACACCCATATCCTAGTCTTTCTCTACAAAAAGCCTATTTGCATACATTAAAAGCTGCTTCTTGAAGGTCAGGCTTCTATTTTGGCACACATCTAGGGACAGACTGCAATCCTACCCAGAGATGAAGAAAGCCAGTGGGCACCATCTGCACATTCTCCCTCTGGCCCACTCAGGTCATTGGTGTATTCCTGGAATGAGCTTGTATACATGCCTACCACTCTGGCTTTTGTGGCTGCTGTCCAGGGGATACACCCCTTGATCACCTGGCTCTGGCAGCCAGTGGGGCTTTAGTTCCAGATTCCATAGGACAGTAACAAACAAAGAAATGCTTCTTAATTGGCTATCTACCCAAGGCTCAGTGCAAAGGGAGCACACAGAAATGCCCAGCTCCCAGTCTTTCCTGGAAAGAAGTCTGCTTGCATACTTTAAAAGCTGTTAACCAAGGGTCTGGCTTCCAATCAGCCTCCATCTAGGTGCTGACTAAGATCCTCCCTTTTGGGAGACTGACAGGTCTTGACACACCTTCAACTACTGGAAGCCGCTAAAACCACAGAAAGTGGCTTAGAAAAATCACAAAGGTTTGAGCGACAGCCAAGAGCTAAGGCTGAGCTGAATGATAAGGTTCATCTCTTACACAAGACCACTCTATCAAGACTGGGAGAGGTGGCTGTTGTATCTAATATGCAGCAACCAACACAGAGGGAAAGAAAAATGAAGAAACAGAAGAATATGTTCTAAACAAAACAAGATAAAACCCCAGAAATAGACCCTAATAAAATGGAGATAAGTGATTTATCTGATAAAGAGTTTAAAATAATGGTCAAAAGATGTTTACCAAGGTCAGGAGACCAATGCATGACAAAGTGAGAATTTCAACAATGAGATAGAAAATATTAAAAAGTACCAAACAGAAATCAAAGCTGAAAAAGTAACTAAGTTGAAAAAGTCAACAGAGCAGACTAGATAAAGTGGAAGAAAATATCAGCAAACTCAAAGACAGAAAGGAAGAATTCATTCAATCAGAGAAGCAAAAAGAAAAAATAATGAAAAAGAGTGAAGATAGCTTAAGAGAATTATAAGACTCCATCAAGCAGACTAATATTATAGGGGTCCCAGGAGAAGAGAGAGAGAAAGGGGTCGGAAAGCTTATTTGAAAAAATAACAGAAAACCACCCAACTTAGAGAAAGAGACAGCTACATCCAGGGAGCCCATGGGATCTCCAAAAGAGGAATCCAAAGAGACCTACACTGAGACACAATATAATTAAACTCTCAAAAGTTAAAGAAAAGGAGATTATTTTATTTTATTTTATTTT